AGTTTAAATAATTTAAAACATGTATAAATCGTTCATCCAACATAGATATCAAGAACACATATAATATGCACACATAGCACGTAATTTATATTAACTACTTCATATCTATGTGTAAGACGAAAGTAACTATGCACTCACTTGTTAAAGTGGTGATTCCAACTTGGACAGCGCTTCGCTTCTTAACAATACAATTTCCTTCAACGAAACCTAGTATTATTACAACTAGATTTTAGTCTAATATTTATTGTGACTAATTACGAGCGTTATTATTTTATAAGTGTTAAGCAATACTCTTCAACCACTATGTACAGATAGGGGCCAGACATGAAACACCGAAGGACAGGACAATTTTGGCATTATAGCACTTCTGAAATCCAACAACCCTATGCGGCCTTTCAAACCAGATTCCCCGTACGGCGAGTAGTTAAAAAAATATATTATAATAACACCTTTTTATATCATATTTTATAACATATAAGTTGTTTATAAGTTTATAGATAATAAATTTAAACCTAAGCTATACTTATAATAGGGTAAGCATAACTCACTTACCGGGAGGTTTGCTAGAAACCAGGCTCTGCGGGGGCGGAACTTTCCGAGCCGAAAAGCTCTTTTTATCGGAGCCTTCGGGTGCTACAGGGCTTTATTCTAACACTAGGGAAGTTTCCTAAGGCTTGGGGGTGTTGGGAGGGTTAGAGAGAGAGAGAGAGAGAGAGAGTAGAGAGAGAGAGGAGAGAATGGGTGAGGTGTGGAAAATGAGAGCAACCTTCGCATCTATTTGTAGGGAAGGCTGGCCTCGGTGCGCAGGGCGTTCCTCGGAGGAACGCAGCACGTTCCGAAGGGGCGCGTGTATGAAGCTGGCTGGGGCGACGTGGCTTCTCCGAAACCAAGCATGCGAACGCGGGGCGTTCCTCCTCTCTGCGCGGGGCGTTCCTTGGGCAGTCTCGCAATTTCCACTCCCGACTTCTTAAATTTGTAACTTTCGCATACGAGCTCTATTTTCGATGTTCTTTATATCCACGCGTAGGTGGAGACGTACTCTACAACTTTCATTTAGACTCCGTCGGCTAATTTTGACTTTATTTTTGAAGTTATATTTTTAACAGGTCGGGACAGGAAAAGTCCGTTAAAAATTCATAATTTTGTCATCCGACGTCCATTTTCGCTTGTCTTTTTATCGTTGAGCTCCTATTAATGAGATCTCCGATTCTCGTTTAGGTTGTGTGGGCTAAAAATCTGTCGATCTAATATTCGAACTCCGGACCGCATACTGCTATGCCAAATCTTAGAAAAATCTTAACTTTCTCATACGAAGTCAGATTTGGACGTTCTTTTTATGCACGCTCTCGGTTTAACGTATACTACGACTTTCGTTTAGATTGATAAGGCTAAAAAGCACTTTCGTAAACTCACGTTTTATGTCACACAACGTCGTGCAAGTTTTGTCGCGAAACTTCGACAGGTCATAACTTCTTCGTTATAACTCGGATTTCGGCGTTTTTTATATCTCCAGAATCCTTGTGACGACCACTACAAATTTCTTCATAGATATTCGGTATATCTATTATTTTATTTTTGACATTTATTTTTCATTCTTAATTTATTATATCTTATAAATAAGTATAATGCACATAAAATCACATAATATTCAAATAATTCTTCTTTATTACTTCAAAATGGATTTCAATTGTTGACCCTAACTATTACATTATCACACTAATGTTTAGCCTAGAAATACGGGGGTTACATGCCATCTGGGGTATATTGGTTTCAGACGTAAACATATAGTTTTGTTGAGTGAACGGCGGTGGCATTGGTGCCAACAATGGTGATGCCTGAGCGTGATATTGGAACGGAATTGGTGCTATCCCCATTGGTACACTATGAGAGGTGTTAGTGATGTCAATTTGGTGTGGATTGCTCAATAATGTTTGCAGCCCGGTTACTGGTGGGAAGAGTGGCGGTGTTAGAACGTGCGTATGTTCGAACATCCATATTCGGCTTATTAATAAGAAGATGTGGCTTGGACGGCTGTTTGGTTCGATTTTGGTAGTGAAGTCAGTGGTATTATCGGTTGTAGCAGTTGCATTGGGTGAATCGGACTTTGAACAGCTCCACTTCTTTCTCCCGTGTCTTCAGTCGCCGTTGTTTGATGGATGTGATTACGTAGCTTTGTGTTCGTTGTTGCACACAACGGATGGCGCCAATGATGTAACATCAATCCCTATAGCTCACATATGGTGTGAAATCTTTCGTGATCTGCAATCACACTCAACAAAAGAATATATATGTAGCGTCCCGGTAGGAGATCCCGGGGAGGCGCTCGGACGATCAAGCCGGTGATCGCTGATTGGTGGTCAGAGGTGGTAATCTGAGATAAAGTTATCAGATCGTACTTGAGAAAGAGAGAGAGAGAGAGAGAGAGAGAGAGAGAGAGAGAGAGAGAGAGAGTCGTTTTCCTTATATAGGTTGGGTTTTTCGTACCTCACTCTCAGAAGCGTGTGGATGCAGGACCACCTGATTATTCTCTATAACGTCTCCTCTTTCTTCATTGGTCCACGTGATCCACAAGAGGTCTTCTTTGGTCCTGATTGGTGGGGATGGAATCTCCGTTAATGGAATGGGGGATGCTCCTTTTGCTACATCAGTCCCATGCATCTTGGCCCATGCTTCTCATTCATGCCAGGAAGGCATAGGCCCATAAGAATGAACTGTCTCGCCGGCTAACCAAATTGATGCACAACAGGGTTAACAAGAGAAGATCCGTCTCGTGTTGTCTCGCCCCCCTTGCCACGACGTATCCGAGAGATTCGTCATTAGATACTATTGTCCAATGATGTATGAAGATGCCGAGACAACAATTTACCGATGCGAGAAATGTCAAATAGAATGCTCCAATTTCCAGAATGATGGCGACACCAATGATCAACATCACTAGGCCGTGGGAATTCGTCCGATGAGAAATAGATATAGTCGGACCTTTCCCCGAATCTACACGCAAAGTGAAAATGAAAATTATGGTAATGGCAATTGACTACTTTACAAAACTACTTTACAAAACGGGCAGAAGCAAAGCCTTTAGAGACCATAACAAGACAAAATATGGTGAAGTTCTTCTATTTACATGGGGTTTATATGATTTTAATAATTTTAACAACCTTGTTTTTAACTATTAAATACGTCATAGATTAGATTTTATAAATTAATTTTAACTATTAAATTTGTCATAAATTAGATTATATGAATATGTTATATTAAATTTTTATAAAGTTGGATTTAATTAGTATAGTTGGATTGAATATATGAAAGTTTTGATGTCGGTCCTTACCGATTTCAACCGACAATTAAATATCTTATGTTTTTAAACCGATAGAAAAAACAAAATAGAAAAAAGACAAAATTGCAAGAATGGTCCCTATGGTTAGGTCGAAATTGCCACTTTGGGCCAAATAGGTTTGGACTAGCAATCATGGTCCAAAGGTTTTCATTTTCTTACCACTTTGGTCCAATTTACTTTAAATTTTTAGTAATGACCATTTTGCCCTTTCTTTTTACTTTTTCAGTTTATTTTTATTTATTCAAATACTTTTATTAAAAGAAAAAGAAAAAAGAAAATACATCTCTCTCTCTCTCTCTCTCTCTCTCTCTCTCTCTAACAAAAGAACCCAGATTTATACTCAGGAGCAAACTAATTTGTATTTTCAAGATTTGTAAATCCACACAAGAATCAAAACAACTCTCCACAAATAAACAAATCATAACTGCAACATTAGATTACATAGATTTTGGTTTTGGTGAGTTTAGAAAGAAAAAAAAATCGTTGAGACCCCATCTCTCCATCTCCGACCCCATTTCATGTTCATCATCGTTTCACCTTACATCATAACCATTCTCACCATCCTACCACTCCAGCTTCCACCGTAGTTTCCACAGCCACCACAAGATTTTCTTCCTCATTATCGTCCCTCACAACATAGGAGGTAAAGGTAGTTGTTGGGGGTGTAGCTCTTAAATACTACCTTAAAAATAACCGGATGCCTCCAAAGTCTGAACATTAAGCAACGGGTGTTGGATATGATTTTACGAAGAGAAAAAATTTACAGATGGATCTCGAATTTGGTGTCCGACTAAATAGAAAGAAGGAAAGAGAAGGGAGAGAATGGGGAGCCTTTCTTTTGGAGTTGACCTAATCTTGATCAGATCGGGATAACAAGAAGGAGGAGAAAAGTTGCGATGTTGAATTTGGAGTTCATCAGCCCATCGATGTTCCATCTTCCTCCACCCACTTCATCGTTTAATCAAAAAGGAATACCACTGAAGTTGACGACAAGATCGAAAAGGAATACCTTAGACATTCGATTTTCCATGGAAGCACAAGATTAGGTCACCTCTACCTCAGAAATCGCTCCCTCTTTCTTAATCCGAAAAACTCGTGCTTCCCACCATCAGTGGGGTTGGATGGTTGAGGAAAGGACGGGAGATACCAACAATGTGGTTAGGGGGGTCGATTCTTGAAGAAATTGAGGTTTCAATTTTTGGGTTTAAGGAAAACAAGAAGAACGGTAGAACACAGATGTGGAAGACAACTTTAGAGAGAGAGGGGGGAGAGAGAGAGAGAGAGAGAGAGAGAGAGAGAGAGAATGTATTTTCTTTTTTTCTTTTTCTTTTAATAAAAGTATTTGAATAAATAAAAAACTGAAAAAGTAAAAAGAAAGAGCAAAATGGTCATTATAAATTTTTTTTAAAGTAAATTGGACCAAAGTGGCAAGAAAATAAAAACCTTTGGACCATGAGTGCTAGCCCAAACCTGTTTGGCCCAAAGTGACAATTTCGGCCTAACCACAGAGACCATTCTTGCAATTTTGTTTAGAAAAAACCATCATTGTAATTTATTTTCCAAATTGCATATCTAAATAGAAAATTATCTTTAATCATATTTATATAATACTTACGATCTTCTTAATGCTGTCATTTTTTTTTTGTTGACGTGAAACTAGAATTTAAAGACGAGACATTGCAAGAACTTTTTCTTCATCTTGGTGGTACCAAGTTTGATCCCTGTGGACTTTATTTATGGACGACTTGTTTGTTTTTGTAGAAATCACAAATGAAGCTGCAATTTTTCTAAGCTCCACCTTTTGGATTTTACCAGTTCCTGTTTTTGGCAACTCTTTTAAGAAGTCCACCTTCTTTGGGACCATAAACTTCGGCATATTTTTCCGGCAGTGTTTTAAGATCTCGTCTTCTGTTACGTTTTCTGTTGTCGTTTTCAAGACAACAAAAGCGCAAGGGCTTTCTCCCCATCTTGGATGGGGCATTGCAACAACCGCAGCTTCAAGTATGGTTGGGTGTTTGAATAGAACAGACTCGAGTTCTACGCTGCTAATGTTTTCTCCACCGGAAATGATCACGTCTTTTGACCGGTCTTTGATTTCTAGATACCCATCGGGATGAATAACCCCAACGTCCCCCGTGAAAAACCATCCTTTGTGGAAAGCTTTCTCAGTCTCCTTTTCGTCTTTTAAGTACCCTTTCATGATGCTGCTTCCTCGGAGAACGATCTCTCCCATTGTCTTCCCGTCGCTTGGAACACTCTCCATTGTTTCCTTGATCTTCACGTCGACGTCGGAAAGTGTTAGGATCCCGACACCTTGACGGGACTTCAATTTCGCTTGGTGGTCTTGAGAAAGTTGATTCCACTTCGTCTGCCACTCACAGATGAGTGCAGGTCCGGTAGCCTCCGTAAGGCCGTAGGCATGCATGACATTGAATCCAAGATTCTCCATCTTCTCCAAGAGGCAAGGAGGCGGAGGCGCCCCTCCGGTGAGTATGTTGACGTTGGAGGTTATTTCACGACGCTCATTAGGCTTTGCTTCGAGAAGAATGTTAAAGACTATAGGTGCACAACACATATGAGTAACTTTGTGCTGGGAGATAGCTTGGTACATTTCGCTGGCGGAGGTGTTGCGTATGCAGACGTTGGTTCCGCCTCTTGCAGCCACCCCCCATGTGAAAGTCCAGCCATTGCAGTGAAACATGGGAAGCGACCACATGTAAACCGGTTCAGTACTCATCTCCCAACCTTGAATCAAACTCATCGTGCTCAAAAAAGCACCACGGTGGCTATAAACCACCCCCTTTGGTGCTGAAGTCGTCCCTGATGTGTAGTTCAACGCGATCGAGTCCCATTCATTCTCGACTTCTTCACCAAAGTACCTGGGGTCACCATGGTGGATGAGTTGCTCGTACTCCAGCTTTCCAAGACGGACGCCCGTGGGCTTGTGAATGTCATCAATCACGATGACCAATGGCATTGCGTAATTGGCTGCAGACGTGTGTTCTAAATCCGCCACAAGCAAACGGACGGCCTCTGAAGCCAACGGAACGTACTGGTAGTCTACAAAGAAGACCTTCGCTTCGGAGTGGTGAAGAATAGTGGCTATATTTTTGGCATCTAGCCTTGTGTTGATTGCGTTAAGTACAGCTCCAGCCATGGGCACTGCAAAATGCATCTCATATAACGCAGGTACATTTGGTGCCAACACTGATATCTGTCCAAGAATCCATATTAAACAAAGATCGATCTAGTAAAACCTTGTGATTATAAACAATTTAAGATCGTTACAAGAGATGAAGGATGACAACTTACAACATCGTTCTTGACAATGTTGAGGGATCGGAGGGAGGAGGCGAAACGGCAGCAGCGTTGGTAGGTTTGGCGCCAAGTAAAGCGGACTCCAGCGTAGATAACAGAGGTCCGGTTGGTGTAAACTATGGCAGCTCTCTTGATAAAAGTTAGAGGGGTGAGAGGCACATAGTTTGCTGGGCATTTTGTAAGTCTATCCATAATCCCTTATCACCTTATCAGGATTTTATCTGTTTCCAAGCTCAAAAGACAAGTGAGACTTGAGAGAGAAAAGCTAGAGGTGAGTGTGAGACAGAAGCTGAGGAAGTGATACATTTATATTTTAGGAAGTGTAAGGGTAGGGTGTTGTAAATTTGGTGGAGAAAAAGTTATTTTGATGTATGCGGTGGTGATTAAAGACTGCAATTTGACCTTCAAAGTTTGAATTTCAAAGGCTTTTGCATAGGTTAATTAAGAAATTAATCAAGTTTAATTAAGGGCTGCCTTGACTACTCCACTATGTTAAGCTTTTTAAATTAATCACATATACATCTTTTCCCCTCGTCACGACACTTCATATTTTTTACGTCACTTTTTGGAAAAAAAAATGAAATTTTCTATATTACAATAATTTGTTTTGTTTTGTTTTTTTTTTTTTTTTGGAATCGGCCGGATAATATTAAGCTTAAAAAAGAAAAGACTAGGCAAAAAGGAGATTACAAAATGTGAACCACATTACTACACCAACCCCCCCCCCCCCCCCCCCACAATTTCAGAAAGTACCTCTATATTTGATCCATCCAAAAATCTCTATGATGATGTTGTCCGCGAAATTCAAGGGGGAGATCTGAACTTTGTTGAAGACTTTGTTATTTCTAGCTTTCCAACCATTCTAGAAGAAACCATAGATAATAGCAATCATAATCTTTCGTTTTTTGGGGTACGACCCCAATTTGCAGCAAAGATAACCAACTCACCCACCGAGATTACAATCTTGTAGGCATAGCTTAATTTGAGATTAGGCCTGTGGGTTGTTAAAATGTGTCACCTCACATGTCATTTCACCATGGTGTTATAACATAAATTGAAGAAATTAACAACCTATTATAACATGTTATAACACCCTTATTTTCTATGTCATTATTAGTTTTTTGTTTTTTAAATAAATATAAAAAACAAATATAAATTTATTAAACATGTTATGTTAATAAATTCTAAATTAAACATAACATTTAAAAAAAAATAGACAAATTTGCAAAAAAAAAATGGTTCTTGTAGTATATATTTTTTTTTGAGGTTAGTCCAAACCTCGACTTATTTCGTTTCGTGATCCTTTTGAGCTAGTTTCGTTGCGTTTTTGGTCTCTCGAAAAACTGAAAAGACTAAATTGTCATTCTGATACTTTTTTAGGCTTTTTGGTATTTAATTTAATATTTTATTAAATTCAAATATGGACTCACCTCTCTCTCTCTCTCTCTCTCTCTCTCTCTCTCTAAAACCATTTATCGTCTTCTTCCCTTACTAGAGAAACATCACAAGACAACCACCATGGTGGTACCAACACTTCCGGAACTGTAACTCCACCTTCATCGACGTATTTCATCTTTGCCACCCCCTCCTCAGCCACCATTGCGCATATGTATTTCCGACACCCAAAACTCCATTTCTAATCTTTTTCACCTTCTTCTTGTCCCTCTCTCATCTCGTTCTCCCTTTAAAATGGGTGTTTGTTACAAAACAAGATCAAAGGTGTTCGTCGGAGGTTGTGCAGAAAATGGGTGGCAGAGATTTGTGCCCTAAAACCTGCATCTGGGTGTATTAATGTCGGCGACTCCCCCTTCCGACGATCCTTTGACCGATAAGCCTGGACGAAAGTTGTTAATGCCGACCGGAGGCAACAATTGTGCAAGGGAGGTGCTGGTGGCGGCCAATCGTGAAGAAGTGGAGGTGGAGGCGGCATCTGGTGGTTGTAGTTGTCATCTACGGTGGCGATGGAGGCTGCTCCAGCAGCCTCCTTGGCTGTTCTCATATCCGATCCGAAAGAAAAACATGACAGTAGAGAGGGGTGAACGAAATCAACAACAGGTGGGTGTTTTGTTGTGGTGTTGACGGGATCCAAGGGAGAAAAGGGGTGAGGGATTTTGTCTTGCCTTCACCGGAAAATCAACCACATTGGTGGTGTGTTCATGGCAGAAAGAAAAAGAAGAAGAAGAAGAAGAAGAAGAAGAAGAAGAAGAAGAAGAAGAAGAAGAAGAAGAAGAGAGAGAGAGAGAGAGAGAGAGAGAGAGAGAGAGAGAGAGAGAGAGAGAGAGAGAGAGAGAGAGAGAGAGAGAGAGAGAGAGAGAGAGAGGTGGGCCCCTTTTTTTAATTATTAAAACAAATAAATAACTATTAGATTTAAAAAAAATGAAAGAAAAATGAAAAAAATACCCCAACGACATTACAGTCATTTCAGTTTACTGAGGGACCTAATCCGCAACAAAACCAGCTCAAAAGGACTTCTTCTTGACATGCTTAAGTATCATCTGAGATGCTCGATGAACTTCTTCTTGACATGCTTAAGTGAATCACTTTTGGCAGCATTGGAGATGAACTTCTGAAGGATATTTGTTGGAATGTTGGAACAAGGTGTTTGTCAAGAACTCTAAAGAGTTCTTTTCGATTAGTCTTCTTTTTGCGATAGACACAACCGGGTTCCAGATCTTCAATGGGGCCTTCGGCTAGGATCTATGCTTCAAGAAGTTCGGTAGTGATTTTTTCCAGAATGCTCTCGTTTCCGTACGGGCGAGCAAATTCAATCTCGGATATGCAGAACTCAGCAATATAGTCCTACAAGAAATTTGTTGTAGCACTGTAGGCTCCAATGCTTGTGTCACTTGATTGGCGATCTCGGAAGTGAGCAGCTATAGTGAGAATGTCATTTGGGTTGATCGAAGGAAAGTCTGCATCCGTGATGGTGATGGTGATGGTGGATTCTTTGTTCCGAGAAACATAGTATCTGTATAACATGCAATTGAGATCAAACTTGCTCTGAACCTTGTTACCATATCCGATGATCTTGGTAATCCTCTTCCGAGACCACACTTTCTTTTGGGGTCTTGTGTTGACGAGGTCAAAGGTTCCCAATCTCTCACACTCTGTTATGATGATTATTTGAGGATCATCATTCGGATATAGAAGAGCATACTTGATATGGATATGACCGTGGGGAGAGATTGGCAGGTCAAGTTGATCAACATCTTGTGTCGGAAGATCATAGTACATGAAGGGCGCGAAGTGTATGTTGTGAATAACTCCTTCTCGGAAAAGAGGAGATATACCTAACATCGGATTCAGATTGTCTTTCAGTGTTTGAATTCGAATGCTTTCTTCCAAAGCTTGATCGATCTTTTCTTGAGACCAGCCCTCAGACTTTTTAAACATCTTCACGGGGCTGTCAGAGTCTGCTGAAATCTGTTTGCCTTTGTCTTGTGGATTTTTGCTCATTCCAGAAAAAATAGGAAATGATTTGTTGATCGGATTCGGTGATGAATAAGTCAGATGGAGGAGGAATCAGAGGCTCTTCAGGGAGATCATCAGATTTCCAGGTGGGAGAACCTTCATCAATTTGAACTATCCTCGGAGCAGGAATTGGTGGAAGCATGGATTGAGTAGCTCAGAATGCGTCAGCAGTCAGCTTGGTCTTGAGCTTTGCCATGTCTCGACTTCGTCTGAACACTTCGGCTAAGGATGATGGCCAAGAAACCGAGGCCATTTCATCCTCTCTGCTTCGAAAAGGACATGCAGTGGTTGTTCCGTGAGGGCTTGAAGTCCTGAGATCACATTTTCAGCCAGACCTTCATCTTCTTCATCACTTAATTCAAGAGCTTCGACCTTGAGAATTTCTTCATTAGTTGATTCATCTCGGAGCACAAAATCCAAGACGGGTTTCCATTGTATCGTTCTTTCTCTTCTTTCTCTTTCTCCCCCTCTTGCATGGGATGGCCGCGCTTTCAACGCAAGTATGGGTTCAATCTTTAGTTCCTCCAACCGTTCAAAGACTCTTTGAAAGATTGTGTTTGGTGAGAGCATCGTAAGCCTTGACTGTAGGAGCTTGAGCCTTGAGATGGGAAAATGTTTCATCTAGAATTATGAGCATCTCATCGAACTTGTTGTTGGGAACATCAATGTCACACCCCAAAATCGGAACGACGGAAACGTTCTGGGGTGGAGGACGTCATGCGTAGTATCACAACAGTTGTATCATAGTAAGCGAAGTAAACACAACCATTACATTATAATAATAATATTTACATTGTTTGAAAGCATGGTTTATACATAACAGTATATAACAAAAGTAAAAGACGTGACTCCAAAATGCTCCGTCTTCTCCAAAAGTTGGCTAGAGTACCTATCTATTGTTGCCCTGAGAATACAAGCAGTTTTAAAATATCAGCATAAAGCTGGTGAGTTCATAAGCGTTTAGTTCTGGTGAAAGAAATGTTTCTTTGATCCTTTGAAAAGTGTTTCCCAAGAAAATCTCGTATTTTATTATGAAAGATGTTTGATTATCCATTCGTTGTTTGTTAGACGGTTCGTTTGTGAAAGGTTATGTTATCCCAGGAAAATCCTATATTTTCCTTAAAAGTTGTCAGTTGGTTATCTGTTCTGGTATGAGGTGTACAAGTATCTACCATACTTGTATCGTTAGATGTAGTTTCCTTGAAAAACCTTGTTTGTTCTCTGTGAGGTGTATTAGCCTTATTACATAAATAAAACTAATAAAAATAGGTAGTGAACTAGATCCTAAGGGTATTACTAATGTCATCTAGTAATCAAACCGGTTATTACTTTGAGGTTAGTTCACCTGTTTCATTATTACAAAAGTAAATTTTCGCTATCTAGGTTGTGAGTGTCATAACCGTACTTAGACTGGATATGGCACGTAACGGGGCCAGTATCTTTTTATGACTTTGTCACCCCTGAACCTAACGGTCCCGCTGTAGTTGGCAGCGAAGGTGCGGGATAGTCAGTCCCATATAGATCTATACACAATAGTCATGCTCTCCCTCCAAGAGATTCTGGTTACAAGGGTTAGTCCTACACTCTCGTATCCGGTTGAGTGTTACCAAGGACGTGTCTCAAAACTTAGTCTAACAAATTTACAAGTAATAATATTGAAAATCCTGTTTATGTTTTGTATGAATCCTTTGCAAAATATCGCATTTTATGACAAGATTCAC